CAGGGCTCTGAGCCCTTAACACCTTCCCTTAGCCAGACCATCCTCCGAACATGGACGGACGGACGGACGCCTGCGAGGAGCCTGGAGGGGCCTGGAGGGCAGGCGGGCTCTCACCCGGAGGCTGCCCCTTTCAGCAGGCTGCTCGTCCCCAGGGCCGCCCTCCAGCTCATGAGCACCACTTCATGGAGATGCAGGTTTCCGGGGCTGTGCCCCTAGTGGCCATTCTGGCCTGCAGGGGGCACCCTAACGTCTGCAGGAGGCAGGAGGCAGGAAGCAGTCGCCTCTGCGGGTCCTCCGTTTTGCCAGCTTGACGCAAGGAGATGAGTACGTTTGAGCTGTCGGTGCTGAGCGGCGCGTTTTCTAGAATAATGAGGTTTCAGATAGGTTTGGTTTAGTCTGTGGTTTCACATTTCTGCCACATTTGCCTGACCCTCTTGGGAAAGAGGTTCGTCTTCTACCAGAGGTGGTCCTGTGGCACCAGTGTGTCGTGTTCAGACAGCTTCCAGGGGCTGGAGCTGTGGAGGCGTCAGGAGCTGGGCAGCAGTGAGAAGCCCCCGGGGCAGACAGTTGAGGGAAGAGGCTGGGTCCAGGTGCCTCCTTCCTCGGGCCTGGCCCTGCTGCCTGGGTGGGAGCGTGTGCCGAGCCCTTGGTCCTTGAGGTGTAAGCCCCCGAGGCAGTGAAACCTCTCTGTCTCCCATTGCCTTTGCTGCTCGCCGTGTTAGTCTGCAGGCATTACAGTGACAATCAACGCTCCTGTGTGTGGGCACTCACTGCGTGCCAGAGGCAGATACCGCCGTCACCCCATCTTAGAGATGAGTAACCCGGGGCAGAGAGAGGTTAGGGAGCTTGTCCAAGGCCACACGGCCAGGAAGTGGTAGCACACGATGGAAACCCCAGCCACCCGGGCACTGTTGGCTTCACCCCTCTGCTGCTCCGATCGCTGTGACAGTTCCCCCACAGCAGGCGGGACCCGAGCAGGGAGGACGAGACAAGTGATGAGGGCACTGGGGGGACAGAGGGGACAGAATGGCCTCGACTCCCTGGGCAGCCCTCGGCAGCTCCCCTGAACCACAGCGCGAGCCTCGAAGAGGTCCCCCCTACCCCCGGCTTCCACCCTGCCCTACCTGTAGTCCAGTTCAAGGGGAAGCCGGGTCGTGCGCGGAGCTCTCCAGCGGCTCCCCTCCCCCTCATAGTGAAAGCCGGGGTCCTGACGGTGCCCTCAAGGTGCTGCGTGGTCTGACCCACCACCTCTCTGACCTCAAGTCATCCTCCTGCCCTCTGCTGCAGCCTTGTCCACTCTTCTTAAACAGGTCAGGCACTTGCCTACCTCAGGGCCTTTGCGCTAGCTTTTTCCTCTGCCTGGAATATTTCTCCTCCAGTAGCCACCTGGCTCACTCTCTCACTCTCTTCAGATCTGTCTTAGTCCAGGTTGTTTCGCGAGTAGACTGTGAGGTGGGGCTAAAATGTTAGGGCTTAGGTGCAAGGTTCGGTGGCGCAGTGGTTAAGAGCTCAGCTGCTAACCAAAAGGTCGGCAGTTCGAATCCACCAGCCACTCCCTGGAAACCCTATGGGGCAGTTCTACTCTGTGCTATAGGGTTGCTATGAGCTGGAATTGACTCAATGGCAACAAGTTTGTTTTTACAGATTTTAGGTGCAAGCCCAGTGTAGCAAGAGTGAGGGAAAGGACATGCGGAAGAGAAGCCTGGCAAGCACACACAAGATGATGCACTAATCGTGGCCCCTGCATCACAAAGATGCCCAGCTGGTTGCTCAGCCCCATGGGGTCTCATCAGGAAGGCTGTAAAAAAGGAAGGAAAGGTCCTGGACAGAGTGGGAGAAAAATGTACAACAAAATACCAAATTCATAAAGAAAGACTAGGCTTATTGGCCTGTTAGAGCTGGGAGGAACGCCCAAGACTATGGCCCTGAGACACCCCTCTGACGTCGAACTGCAGCCATTCCCGGAAACCACCTTCCAGCCAAGCAATAGACAGGCCTATAAAATCAGCAATAACACCCGAAAACATCGTGCTTTGTAGAGTAAACAATTATAGGAGACCTAAAGGGCAATATTTGCCCAAAAGTAAAGATGAGAAGGCAGGAAAGGGTAGGAAAACCAAATGAAAGGAAACGGGGAGCCCCGGGCGGAAATGGGGAGAGTGTTGACACAGTGTGGGGGTCCACCCGATGTCATGGAACACTTTGTGGGTGCTCTTTTGAATGGGAAAACAATTTGCTCTGTGAACGTTCACCTAAAACACAAGAACCTTTTTTTTTTTTTTTTTTTTTTGAAGGGAAGCTTCTGTTGATGGTTCTTTCTGGTTGCTCGTTATCCCACACATCTTTGTGCACGTGGATGAGCATTTCTGTGGAATGAATTCCTGGACGTGGAGGGTATGCTGATTGTCGATGTTGCTAATCAGATAACCGAACCAGTTGCCGTGAAGTGGATTCTGACTCCTGGCGACTCCAGTGTGTGTCAGAGCAGAACTGTGCTCTGCAGGGTTTTTGGGGCTATGATCTTTCCGAAGCAGATTGCTAGGCCTGTTTTCCAAGGTGCCTCTGGGTGGGTTCGAACCTCCAACGTTTTGGCTAGCAGTCAAGCGCTTAACCATTTGTACCATGCAAAACCCGAAACCAAACTCGGTGCTGTTGAGTCGATTCCGACTCATAGTGGCCCTATAGGTCAGGGTTGAACTGCCCCATAGGGTTTCCAAGGAGTGGGTGGTGGATTCAAACTGCTGACCTTTTGATTTGCAGCCGAACTCAACCACTGTGCCACCAGGGTTCCTGTACCCTGCAGGCACTCCCAAATTTCCCGCAAGAAGGACTTCATTATCACACTGGAGTGTATGAGAGCCCCCCCACCCTTACCGATCCTGGATGGGATCCCTCCGTTAATTCCTGATGATCTAAGGGCTCACCATCATTGCGTTTACCTGATGACAATGAGGTTGAGCATCTCCATAAGTTCACAGATCTCTGTAGCTCTCGTTCTAGAATGGCCCCTTGGTACTCTTTGCAGTTAGTCTTTCTCTCTGCATGGAGTCTTCTCTCTTCTGGTTAACTTTGTTGAATTAACTAGAACTTCCATAAAATGTTAGGTAAGACCAGAAGTGGTGGGCTCGCTTGTTTTGCTCATTGCTTTAATTGGAGTGATGCTGGTGTTTCAGGTTCTGTGTGATCCGGGGGTATCGATGAACTCCAGCTGGCGAAAACCGTACAGAGGAAGCATCTCTAATTGAGATTCCCTCCCGCTTTGACTGTAGACTTTGCCTCTCAGGACTATGTGTCGACATTATCTTCTGAAAACTGAATATTGCAGAAGAGATGTCTAAGACCAGTGTGACTTTTCCTCTTGTTAGTGTTTCCTCTTTGTTGCTGTTTTCCAGTACGTCTGTTGAACCTGTTTGGACGCCAGTAGGATTTCTTTATCCTTGGAAATACAATTTTTCATGGGAGTGTAGCTGGGGCCTCTTTTGGCTGGGGCCTCTTTTGTTGGCCTCTTTTGACATACTTTTGCCAGGTACTCAGGGTGTCTCTTGATCAGCAGATTCAAATCTGCCTTCAGCTCAGGATGATTTTCTTGACATGCGTCTTTGGTTATGGTTTCTGTTTCATTCTTCTGGCGTCTTCTTCAGAAACAGCTATTATCCGCAGGTAAAACCATGGTCTTTCCTCTATCTCTCTCCTCTTCTCAGATTTAATATTTGTCTATCCCCTTTGCATTTTGGTTTAATTTTTTTTTAATTCTGGTGAACGTATACACAACCAAATGCACACCATCTCAACAATTTCTACGTGTACAATTCAGTGACGTTTATTACATTTTTCAACTTGTGCATTCTTTCTATCCTTTTCCAAATTATTCCCCCACCATTAACATAAACTCACTGCCCCCTAAGCAACAACTCCCCCTTTTCCCCTCCCTCTCACCCCCGGTAACCACCGATCATCCTTGGTCTCTATATATTTGCTTATTTCATACAAGCAGGATCATACAGTATTTGTCCCTTTGCGACTGACTTATTTCTCTTGGCGTGATGTTTTCAGGCTTCATCCACATTGTGGCGTGCGTCAGGACCTCATTTCTCTGTATGGCTGAGTGGTATTCCATTGTGTGTACGGACCACGTTTTGTGGAGGGGTTCGTCTGGTGATGGACACCCCTTTGCATTTTAAAATGTTCCTCCCGCCGTCCTCCACGTGAGCGACACCATTCCTTCATCGTGGACTCTGAGCTCTTCCTCTGGTTTTCGGCCCCGGTGTGGCCTCTTCGTCTCCTCTTCATTGCTTGTTTCACTGAGGCCACCTTTTCTGGAGTTTTCATCCGTGGCACAAAGTGGATGCTGCCCCGAATGTGCTTGTGTGTCATGGGCCGTGCCAATCCTCTCTCGGTTGCACATCTTTTCCAAAGCCGCACGCTGGCTTCTCCCTGTTTATTGATTCGTGGACAAAGCAAGGTTTGGTCAGACCTGCTGTATTCCAAAAATACTGTGGTGGATTCTCCGTGGGTCTGGTTTCTCTCACCTGGAGGCGCCTGGAGTTGTCCCAACACATAAGGGCTAGAGCTAGGGAGGTGGGGGTGCAGGGTTATGCTTGAGCTGAGCGCCCCATCACCTGGGCCCAGTGGGTGCGATAAGTTCCCTGCTTGGTTGACTCCCATGTTGACACACTAGGAGGCAGCTGTTGTGATCCATGGGGGTTTCATTGACTAATTTTTTGGAAGTGGATGGCCAGGCCTTTCTTCTTAGTCTTAGTTTGGAGGCTCCTCTGAAACCTCTCCACCATGGGTGACCCTGCTGGTATTTGAAATATCCGTGGCATAGCTTCCAGCATCACAGCAACATGCAAGCCACAGGTTGACTGACAGGTGATGGTAAAATGTATAGCAGCATTCAATGAGGTATCCACTGGACCACTCCAGGAATGAGCTGTGCATGCTCCTTTTTAACCCTCAAAACCCTTCTCTTGTTGGCTAGCTGAATCCAGGAGCCCAACATGAATGGCTATGCCGGATTTCCTCCCAGCCCCAGTGACCCCTCCAGGGGCGTGCTAGAACCCAAGCCCGGCCGAGCCCCGCTCCTGGAAGACGTGGAGATGAGCAGCAGCTGCAGCAGAAATGAATCCAGTGAGAACCGCTCCACAGGGCAGGCTGGCGACTGTGACGACAGCAGGGGACCGGGGATGCTGGGCCGGCCGGCCGCCCTGCAGGGGTAGGTGCCCGCGCTGGCTGCTCGGGGCCAGGCAGGGTAGGGACGTTTCATCTCCTTTGTAACATGGCTGCTTTTTGAATCTTTAAATCATAATTCTAAGTCTTTCAGGATTTTTGAAAATCTCCTTAACTCAGATAGCTGATTTATTAGGGTCTGTCCTTCCTGAGACATCCTGGGGTGGTACAAACGGTTAATGTGCTCAGCTGCTAACCAAAGGGTTGATGGTTCGAGTTCACCCAGAGGCATCTCAGAAGAAAGACCTGGCAATCTCCTTCCAAAGACTCAGCCATTAAAAACCTCGTGGAGCGCAGTTCTAACTCCGACACACGTGGCGTTGCCGTGAGTCGGAATCGAATCCATGGTGACTGATTTGTCCTTTCGTAATGTTACTCTATTGGTTTTCAATACAGGAGATGCTGAGTGAATATAAAGGGGTCTTGAGGCGAGTGTAGGGGACCCAGCTGACAGCTACTGTCACCAACGCTGGGTGGCTTAGAGAAAAGGAACTTGCTCTTTCAGCCTTGCGTTCCCATCTCCCTGTGCTTTGTCTTTCCGGTGCACGTTTCCCCCGCTATCTGAAAGTAGAGCACTC